TATATATATATTTATGTAATATAACGCACATCTTGTGGACACGATAACTCCCACAATTCTTAATGAATCTTTATGAAACTTGGTAGACTTATTCTATAGACAATTAGCTTGGATGAGTTTAAAAATGAGCTAAATCCCTCAAATAGTTTAGAAATGGCAGCCATTTGAAATTTTCGAAAATCTAATAAATCACTGTATTTTAAAATTTGGCAGCCGATTTACTTTTCTGATAAACTTGAGGAATAATAATTATTCATAATATCGTAATTAAAATCATGGATTACATGAAATCTACCTTCCATCTTGGCTGGTGCCAAATGGCCTTTTATTTTTTTTAACAGTGATTAAATTGTAAAAAATGTTTCGAAGTATATTCATATTTTTCGTGATTATTTTTTTGACACTTGAAAGCGTGCAATTAAAGTTAATTAAAAGCTCTATATGTAAAAAAAGACTTTCTGGATTACTCGAAATGTTTTGCGATGACATTAATAACTTGAATTTAAATTTACTGAATGACTGCTGCGTAAGGTCATGTAGTGTCAAAAAAATTTCATCGATTTGTAATAATAATAACGAGTCACATCAAACTCAATCTGTGATGCTACAGACTTTTGATTTTAAAAGTAAGTTATTGTTTTATTCAAACAAAAAATCTCTCTTCTCAAAATTGAGTAATATTTTTAAGTCTTTAGATATCTTTAAGTAATTAATCGTGGAATAGTAGAAGAGGAATAAAGTTTAATTTAAATATTTTCTGTAACAAATTTTGATTTTAAAAAATTTTTCAATTTACAAGAAGCTTAAGTATAAATAAAAATTTGAACCATTAAGATTCATATATTATATTTTTCCCGTATTTTTGATGATCTTCAATTAAATTCTATAATGTTTGGTATTACAGGTTGATCGTACAAAGCAACTAAAAAATAAGTGTGACAAGCAACAGCCAGCAATTCAGAAAAAAAAGCTTCAGGCGTTTAATCATTAAGGACAAAAGACATGCCTTCTAAAACCACTATAGTATCAATGATATCGTAAAATAATTAATGTATCTACTTATTAATTGAATGCTGTTATTGAATCAACACACTTGGTCAGTCAATGTCAAATTTAACTTTCGAGGAACCAATACATCTACAAAATATTTTTTAATTGATTTTTTATTTTATTAAATTAATAAAAAAAATAACCGAAAATAATTTGTCTATTTAATTGATAATAAATGGAAACACCTGAACATTTACCACTATTTTTTATCATTATTACTTTCGTGTATAAAAAAATAATTTTTACCAAAAGAATAGATATTAATATATCATTTTTATTGAATGAATTTAATTTTATAAAAACTGATGTACGTCGTACCGAAACAAATAAAATTATTTTCTCTCTAAATAAATTTAATTAAAATCTTACCCATCAGGTTGGGGATTATTCAGATCTTGTGGTTGATTGCTTGGAGCATTGCGATTAGCGATTCTGTCCTCTTGATTTATTTCTAACAACGGTGGTCTTATCTCATGCTGTGGGTTATTTTTATTCTCGCTTTCTCTGATACTTGACTGAGTTACTGGATAATCTTGTTCGTAGTCGTCAAAATTATTGTCTTGGGATAAATAATTCTGAGTTGTTTGTACCTGATACTGACGCTGCTTGTTATTATTATCATTATGATGATGATGATGATTATTATTATTATTATTATTATTATTATTATTATTATTGTTATTTATAGTATTATAGTATTGGGTACGCCTGGGGTTTTGTGACTGTACAGGATAATGCTGACGTTGATAAGCAGGTGGTAGATACGGTTGATTTTGATAGTTACTCTGTTCATTAAAATTAGGTGACGGTAACACTCCATTAAATGGTAAATTATTCACGGACTGAGAAATACTTGGCGTGTATAAGTAAGGTGACGGCGTAGCCACTGGAAATGGCAGACTGAAGTTTGCTAATGACATTTTAGAGACTAGATTATTTTAATGAAACCTTTTTTTGCATTGAACGGGGAAAAAACAGTATTTTTCTTCACAAATTTAAATTTATTTAATTGCAGACTAGCACACTGTCATTCGAACTCACTTGAACTTTAATCGTTAATAGAGTTGTTATAACTGTTATTATTTAAACTAATAAGGTACAGTTCGGGACAAATGTCAAACTCCATTATATTTTTAGTATTATAATTGCAAGTTCATTGCCACTGGTTTTTTGCTGACACTTATTATTGTGGTGCTTATAGTACATTTTAAAATTCTCGAGTATCGTGACTGTTGAATATTAAGATTAATCGGTGGTTACAGGCGCCAGAAATTTATCCACGTCTGAGATCTGTAAAAATTGTGAATGAAAAATATTAATATTTTAAAACTAAATATATTTTTCGATATAAGCTGAATAATTTATACTGATTATAATAAAAATTTAACACTAAAAAATAATCTTGTGATTTATTAATGAATGTAATAATTAATTGCCAAACATTGCCCGGTGAAACATGATGCCCAGGTTAAATTAATCTTTTTAAATACTGTCGTTCTAACTGTAATTTATTTTGTTTTAATTTAATAGCACTTAAAATAATTTGTCGACATGGAAAAATATCTGTGGTATTTTTAACTATTTAAGAGAATTAATCAATTCAAAGTTTATATTTTTAAATATTATATCTTTTTAGATTTATAAATAGTAAAACGAGCAAAAAAAATGTACATAATAAAATGATTAAGAATTCATATTAAAAAGACAAAAAAATTTCAACAATGTTGAATCATAAATAAAATAGCGATTTTATTGTTAGCATTATCATGATGATAATAAAAAAAAATATATTTATCATTGAAGAAAAATCCCGAGTGATCTATTTACATACATCTGAAAAATTCAGTTAACGCATGAGCAGCGTCTTGTATGATAAAATTCATCCACAAAATAAGTAGACGTCACATCACCAATAAAAAGTAAGTTACTTTCTTCTTGCAGGCCTTTCACGTGACTCGCCTACTCAACTGGACTTTAAATTTAGCATACCAAAGTCACGTTCCGCTCAATACAAAGTTTAAAAATTTTTCATCATTCTATTCAATAAAAACAAATTCGCCCACCGTCGGAATTCCCCTATAATATATTACATTATATTATATTATATGAATATAACTCCGTTCTAAATAGGCATACCCGAGTAGAGCATCTACCCCAATTTGACCGACTGCTAGCACAACTATAGTCTACCCCTATTGTCCCATCTCACATCCTCGTACTACACTACACACATAAATAAATAAACAAACGCTCGAAATTTTTTCCATTTAATAATTTTGTTTATATTCCACAGAGCTCAATATGCAGCACGCCATCCACTTATATTAATATTATAACACGTCCTGTAAATTTACCTCGGCGAGTACTAAATGATTCCAACACCTCTCAGCCGATCGACAGACTACGGGCCGTGTAATTGCAATGTGTTGTCGGTACATATTTATAAATATTTAACCTCTTAAATTATTCCGCCCAACTAATTGATATACATTTAACATTGACTGATAGCTCAACAACTCAACAATTATTGAGACATTTAATATTTTCCCAGGCGTCTAACTATTACATAAGCCCGCCGGGATCCGGAATAGTTCCGCGCTTAAAAATAACTAAAAAATTTATCTTTACCTGTCAATTACTCAGACGCTACTTAAAATCCTTTTTTGACAGCAGGTACAAAAAAAAAAAAAAAAAAAAAAAAAAAAAAAATACAGTAGAGTAGAGTAGATAGTTAATCAAGCTCTTGATTGGAATGGATATTGGATGAGGACCATTTGATGTAATGTCACTGAGTAGACACGGTATAATACAAATCGAGCAACGGCAACGGTGACAGTGACGGCGGCAGTTGATGTTCGCTAGGAGCCAGCTTGTTCAGCTGATGTAATGGATACTCGGGGTTTGATTGACACGGTGATTGAATCGCGTGTATAAGCCAAGTGAGCCGCGAAACTGATAACCCGTACGCTCGAATGACGAACGACAACTGAAGGAAGTTCAGCCACGGCAAACGGGGATAAGAGACCCAGAGACCAGAGACCGAGACTCTGGAGAGTCGTTTGATCGTAAAGACGAGTTAACTTTTGTGTTGATACTTTCCAGGCTTTTGACTTGGTATCTATAATGTATAATATACAAAATATACGTCTATCCTCTATTATCTTCCTGTATCTATCCGCTCAAATCAACATACCGCTCACAAACTCACAACTATCTATGTATATTCAATTTAAATTTATCTCACCTCTGGTTACATTATATTAAAAGTTCTCACTTAAGTCCGGTCCCACCAAGTTACCCCTACCCTTTCTGCCCGGTTCGTTCAATTCTCCTCTCTCATTTGTTTAAATTTAATTACATCGCTACTGCACTTACTCGATACGATGTTAATTAAAATTTTTAAACTTACTCGGCGTCTTAGAATGCGGGCTAATTAGGAAACAAGAATCCAGCTTGGGTTATGAAATTTTTTTTTTCTATTCTATAAAGTAATAACATAAATAAATATTTTGTCGTTTATTGGTAATTTATATCGAGATATTTATTATAAGGATTTCCGTTTTTATTTTTTTCCCCTGCTAGTGATATGTCCTTAATAAATTTAATAAAGAAATGGTATGAATAGCCCAAGATTTATACGAGGTCTATAAAAGATTGGGGGTTTTATATTTTATAAATTTTATTTTCAATAAAATCGTATTTAATGTTAAGTTTAATGAAATTTTTTAATCTGAGGTTATTTATGTGCTTCTAAATCCATTCGATCGATGCCCAGCATTCAGTCGTATGTGTAACAGACGGTTGACAATCGATCATAATAAATTTATACAAACATCAATCATTGACTTATCATGTTGGGTAAAAGTAAGTCGGTATAAATTAATAAGATTGACAGGTATAACAAATGGACTCTTTTAATAGAGTAATACAATTAAATGCAATGTTATATATGTTGATACTAATTCACTCATTCACCTTTATTTAATCACTTACCACTTACCTAATTCCTTGGGCTTGCCGTCGGTTTTATTTCAAAAAACAAGCCTAACATACTAGCAAAACGTGCGTGTGTGTCCTCGGTAAGAGCTTTTTATTTCTAAAAGAAAATAAAAGAAATGAAAGTAGATCCGGTTGGGCTGTTGGTAGTAATATAATATAATATACTGTGTATAAGTAATACAATAAAGGATTTGCGAAAGAGAAAAAAAGAAAGAGAGAGAGAGAGAGAGGAGAGTGGCCCGAGATAACAGTCCGTCGGGGTTCGCAATCGATTGTCGATCAGCGGGTGGAGTTTATTATTGAAAACCTGAGAATGAATAAAGAGATTAAAATAATAATAGTACTTGTGCTCGAGATAAACGAGCCACGACAGATACCAATTCTTAAATAATTAATTCTCATACCTGGTTTTATGTACTGTCATGTCAATTAAAATAGTAACCCTGGCTTTGCGTGTATTAGCTTGTAGAAGTTATTCAACCGGAGCTTGTCCACCACTTGACTGATACAATACTCTTTATGTTGTAAGTAATATATGTAATAAATAAAAGACAAATATTTTTCCCGATATAATACAATACAATTTATATTTATTTAATAAGGATTGACACAAGGTTTCATTCTTAATAAATAAATAATTGCTCTCTTTATATCACTACGCTAAACAAGTTTCTGAGATTTCATAATTCCTTGTCACGTGTCTAATCCCGCTGACATCTACAAGTGATTCACTGGTTGAGCGTTCAAGACTTTCTTTTAATTCTTAAAAGCTATGGGCTGTGGGATTAGATTTATTTTTTACAGCGAAATTTTTGATAGTTCTCTGAATTATTATCTTACTTTTAATTTTTTTGAATATTTTAATTATTGTTATTGTTATTGATAACATTAAAGTTGATTTTTATTTTAAAAAAATTTATATAATTTTTTTTTTAACACAAAAATAAAAATTATTATTTGATTACAAAAATTTAACCATGTAAAATCCTTGGAATTATTTTTACACTTAATTTTTCTTAAATTCGTAGTCTTTTATTAAAACAAACGCGTATTAAGTACTAGATAATAAATAATTATAAATAAACAAGCCAGAGGAAACATTCATAAGATTTTTATTTGACTTATGTGTCAAGTGTATGTTGGAAATGTGTAAACTATTTATTGAGAAGTGGAATTTATACTTTGTTTGCTAAGAAGATGATGTAGAGATTTTTAAAAAAAATAAGTTTGTGTATAAAATAATAAAAATGAAAGTGGATAGAAATGAAAGGTTGCTTAATCTAATGTCATATGAGTATTCTAATGGCGGAGGGTGTTACTGCATACATATGGATGAACCGTAGGTATATATATATATATATATATATGTGAAAATTACATAAGTAGACGTTTTTAGGCATTAGAATAATATGTAAATTACGAATTTGTAAAGACACATTCTGGTTGTGTTTGAATTAATGGATGTAAGTGTGTGTGTGTGTGTGTAGACTGGGAGTAAATATTCACATGTGAAGAGCAGTGTGAGTGTAATTGGCCAAAAGGTCTTGATGAAGCTGCATGTTAGCGCACATTGGAACTATTACCTTGATTTATGTCCAGTGAAAGTGTAATATTTGATAAGAAAAGACGAGAGGAGTACAGCGGAGCGAAATGGAATAAAAAATTTTTATTTGAGTTATTGCTGATCGTTAAATTGTTCTTAATTGGTTATTTTCGTTATGGGAAGACTGTTTATGTAATAGTACTTGTTATTAATTTTTGAGAATTATTTTCCATTGATGATTATTAAAAGAATGAGAGGATTTGTAATTAAATAACATTGTTTAAGTTCAAGAAAAAAATTATGAAAGAATTAAAAATAAGTTTGTTTATTGTTTAAGTAATTTTTAATTGAGGGTTTTTAGTGCACAAAAATATAATTAATTTACAAAGAGTATATACTTTTTGTAATTATTTATTTTTACACATGAAATTTATATTATTGCGAATAATAATTTCGTAAATTTATTAAAAGAACTAAAAAATATTTTTAAACAAAAAAAATGTCTGAAATAATAAAAAAATTTTCTGTAACGTAAGCCTAACAGTTGATAAAAATAAATTTTTTATGGTAATTGACAAAAAATTTAATGATTGATATTTTATCAATAATCGGTCGATATGACATTACAAGAGTCACATAAAAAAATTTTATTTTTCTCGATAAAAAATAGCTTATTTTTTACGTCAACAAATTAAATATAACAGAAAATGTACAGTGTGTTAGGTGATTATCAGGAAAGATAACTTAATGATTCAATTAATTGACCTTGTAGATTATTTATATAGATATCGTAATATTAGTTAAGTTAATAACAACGTTATTAACAAATTTAACATTCATTAGGGCAAACAAAATCTTGGCAGAAACAACAAAAATTTAACAGCTGCGTTGTCGGTCATTGCTCTAAAGTTTTACGCTTTAAATATTTTACATCGAAAATTTCTGACATAAAAATGTTATCCGAAGATTTTATGACAGTAAAAACTTTGCAGTGTGTTGGAAATTTTTACACTGAATTTTTTTTTCTTATTTTTAATGAAACACTAAATTACTAAAATATTTTTTATTGCAGAAGATAAAGCATTCATATGAATCAAAAGTACTTTTAAAATATATTAACAGAAATTTTCAGCTAATCAAGGGATCAATAAATTTTGTTCTATTTTAAAAGTAATTAATTTAAAAAAAGTCTTTGTATTTTTCAACGAATGTAAAGCTCCATCTTACGTTCGAACAATAACCATGATAAATATGATGAATAAAACTGAATGGGTTGTAATTAGCATACCAGAAATAGCGCTCAATATTTAAGAGCATGATAGATTGAATGAACTTGATAGCAAACTAATTTCGCACGTCAAGAGCCCGCTCTGATAATTAAACTTTAAAACGATCATCTCAGTATCTCGGTTCAGCTCAGCTAGACTATTCAATTACTGAATTATCAAATTACTCAATCATATATTTATTAATATAACTTGATGATATGGCCACCGATTCATTTCTATCCATCCGGATCCTATATAAAATAATTTACATAACTACATTTCATTCTTCAATGTCAATTTTTATTTTATTCATAAATTTTTTTTCTACCTACACAATTTTAAGCAACAGAGTTATAAAAAGAAATTATTCATGTATACGATATAATATAATAGTACATAATTATACACAGCCACTTATAATTAAATTAAGACAGTTTCTGTCTTTAAGCTAATCTTTACTATTTATTTCATCAAAAATTTATTTTATAAATCTAATACTGATTATAATGGATGTAATTGAATTTTAGTGATTTTACTTTACGTATAAATATAATTGTTATTATTATAATTATCAATGATATTGTCTATTGATATTCAAATTGATAATCATTTATTATTTTTATAGGAGATTTTTATCTGTACAAAGGCTAGCATTTATATTAAATTAATATTAATTGATAAGAAGATTAATTAATTTCATACCATATTTACATATAGGACAGTCTTTAATTTATCAAAATGAAGACAATTTGATATTAACTAGCACTATTTATTTTTATTTCTACCTAAATTTCAAATTTTTAAAATTCATTCAAATAACAGAAAAATCCGTCGAAAAACATCAATAATTACCTCGCTGATTTATTTATCAATCAATTCAATTAATTATTTGAAATATCGAAGCGTCCGAATCCGTCGAGTTTGTAATATTAATCAGACAAAATAGTATTTTAAATAAAAAATAAAACCAATGCGCTACATCGAGAATTCAATTTTTAATTATTTATTTAAATTCCCCTGATTATTTATTAAAAATTACCTCTGCTACTCGCCGTATCGCTGACAAAATAATCAAGCGACAATTATAAATTTAAATCCCAATATTAATCCGCTGTTTCATTATTTAAAAAGTACAATGAATAATGTATATTATCATTAAAAATATTAAATATTATTTCTTGAGGATAAACTTTTTATTGTAACCCAAAGCCCCCATTTCTGAAAGCTGTCACCAAAAATTGATTTCTTAGATTTCAATAATGATTATCCGATTGAGGAAACGTATTCCCTCTTCTCTCTTTTTCCCTCCATAACCCAGCCCGCTTCAAATAAGCTATCACAAAATAATAAAAAAAAAGGAATAACTGGAATGATTTCTCCGTAGCTGGTTAAAGCTATTCCATTAAACTGTATTCTAGTTCCCAGTCTGATATTAAACTTTTAACCGGGAAACCGCGTCAATGGATTTCAATTTAAGGTTCATCACTGTCACTTCCCGGGGGATCTCTTGGTTCTTCGACTCTCGGAGCACTTGCGCTTGTACTCGCATTACAATTACCATTACTATTACTATTACTGCTACTGCTACTTCCTGCAGGAAGATTCGCGCTAGCAGTATCTGAATTTCTATCTTGCGATCCCCAGGGTGGGAGCCACCTGTTGACGAACCACCAGTGATAAGAAACCCGGCCGCCATTGCACTCCGTACTAGACCTTTCGTTTCTGTTAATAAACTGACAGGTGCCTGGAGCGTTGGCATTGTTTCGAATGCAGGAGTCATCACAAGTGTGCTGCCTAACGACGTCCCCATTATTATCATTACCATTAACACTAACATTAGCATTAGCATTAGCCTGATTAGACGGCCCAGCTTGGCTTGAATTTCTTTCCCCACTTGCTTCTCCACTTCCACTAGCTCCACCCGCTGAATTTCCAGCAGCAGAAGCCGCGGGATCTTCATTACCAGCCTCCTGATTTCCCAAAGACCTTTCAATTCTCCCCACATAAATCATCGGGTTTGCGTACAGCGGATTATTAACAAACCCGATTCGATCGATCCTCCCGATATAAATTGCGGAATTAGAAGCCGCAGCAGTAGTCAACAGCCTGCTGCGACAATTACATTGGGCGTGATTCCTTCCACATTGATGACAATCACGTCTCAGCGCGTCAACGAGACGACTGGCTGCGCTAATGGGAAATCTTGAGTATGAGTACTCCCCGCCGCGGCAGTAGGCACACCGACAGCTCCTAGATACTTGATAGATGTAATGTCTCGAGGAACCAGAAGCTCCCGAGGGGCCTCCCGAGTCGTCGTAGCATCTCAATCTGTCGTGGAAACTGCTGGAACACTGCTGACACATGTGGTACCTTATAAAAGGCAGTCTCGTGCAGAATTGACACATGCAGTTATGTCCCAGATGGTAGACGTTACGGCCGCTATTGCCTGCCATCGCGACGTTGTCCGTCGAGAAGCAGTTCCGCGATAAACTCAGCCGGTTCAAGTATGCGTTGTTCGGCAAATAAATTTCGCGTGGGTCATACCGATTTGCATTTCTCTCAATCGCGTTCCAGAAGACTGATGACGTAGGAAAATTGTTCGGTGCGCGGTGGTGGTGATTGCTACAGCCGCCTCCGCGGTACCAAGGACGGTTATCAATGCGTTCGTACATATGATCACGGTCGTTCTGATCATTCGGCTCGTTTCTTAGAACAACAGCCTCAGGATCATTGCCGTCTGCCTCGTTATTCTCATTGTTTCTCTCATCCTCGTCATCATTGTCCAACCTTTCATAAATATTTTCCTGGGAGCCATTGTTACGCTCTTGAACCCTCACCAAATCCACGGGATTTTGGTAGTGCGGGTTTAAATTAGCCGCTCGATTTTGATAAACGCGGTTATTTGGATACTGATAAATTCGTAAATTTTGATAATCATCTCGCTGGTCTTGATTACGATTCATGCGGCCCATCGCAACAACAGCAAGCTCTCCATTCTCGTACCTCTGGCAAACACATCTTGAACCTTCGCAGTCATGACCCGCGAGTCCGCGATAACGCGCGACTTGGTCAATCGGAACTTGGGCCTGTGCTTGAGCATTATTACCACTGGGCGCCTCAACTGACGATTCTGCGTCGAAAGACGCACTGTTGTTAACGTTCTGTTGATCCTTGGCATGCCCAGCGGTTTGTAAACCTCACATCGCCCCTGAGAGGATTTGGGGCTTGTCAATGATAGCAACTCCCGCGTAACTGCGACCGATATTCATGCAGCTCGGCAGCGTTGTCCAGGTGTTAGTTCTTGGACAGTATACTTCAACGGAGGCGAGGTTTGACGTCCCGTCATCGCCTCCTACCACGTACAGAAGACCGTTCAGAGTAACTACACCTGCGTTACGTCGACACAGAGCCATGTCCGCTATTGCGGACCACTGGTTCGTCTCCGGATTGTAAGCTTCTACGCTCTTACGAACCAGCGGACCATCGTGGCCTCCAACTGCGTAGAGAATTCCGTCGAGAACGCCGACTCCAGCGCCACTGCGTCGAGCAGACATCTCGGCGACGGATTTCCACTTGTCTTTCTCTGGATTGTAGCACTCGACGCTGGACAAACACTGTCGGGAAACTCCGTCATAGCCTCCAACTGCGTAGAGTAAGTTTTTAACTACTCCCACACCTACGCTGCTTCGTCTAGTGCCCATTGACGAAATCATGCGCCATTCATGGGTACGCGGGTCGTAAACTTCCGCAGAATTTAATCCAGTTGTCCCATCAAATCCTCCCACCGCGTAAATACAATTACCGAGAACTGCTACGCCCAGAGTTGAACGACGTGCTTCCATGCCGGCACACGCTGACCACTGATCTGCAGACCCGTCGTAAATGTCGACTGTGCGTACTCTGAGTGACCCGTTAAATCCTCCCACTGCATACACCCGGCCTCCGAGGACTGACATACCCGCTCGACACCGGCGAGTCGGCAATTCCGCTACTTGGTACCACTTTTCTTCCTTAAAATCGTAACACTCGACACTGCGGATTGCTTTGGGCGCTTGTCCTCCCACTACTAACAAAACTTTTGGCAAACCGCGAGGCTGTCGCGGTTTCGTCCGCGGGGTCTTGAAGAGAGTCTTCTGCTCTCCTTTCAACAAATGGTACTTAAGGGCTTCTATTAAGAAATCCTTGCACTGGAGATTCGCCTTCAAGAGCGGCTCTTCCTCGACTCGCTGGACCAGGTACTCCTGAGATAAAAGCGGCAATCGTACGTGCTCCATTAACTGCGCGAGGTAGTTCTGCCGTTTTTCTAGGTCTGAGTGCACCCAAGATATCACGCACTCAAAGACTTTTTCCTCTGAGGGAACTGACAGCCGATCGCTGCAGATTAATTTGGCAACTTGTTGTGGCGCTAATGTCGAAAATTCTTCTCCCTCAACGACTTCCCTAAAATATAAAAAGTATATTTTTAATTAACGGATTTATTATTTGAAGGGAGAAGATACTTTTTAGGATTTAAAAATTAATAAAGATAATAAATCAGTTGGAGTAATAATTGAAACATGTGTGTTAAATTTATGGTCCAGAAAATTTTTATTGGAACAGTTTCAAGCGGTAAATCATGAAGAAAGTCATTAGACATTGAATTGATGTTAAAATAAATGTCTTAAGTCTTTTGGGGCAAAAAAATTTATCCAAAAGAGTAGAGATGATGTAATAAATAAATGAAAATCCGGTCTATTGAATTAATAAAATAAATTCTTACGAGAAATGTTGTTCAATATAACTGTCAGCGTGCCCGAGTAGCTCCAAACAGCCGTGAAGATCAGCAAATGCGCGAATTCCTAAGCAGTTGGACGGATGCAATTGCGCTTGTAAAAAATCGCAACATGCATCGCGGACATCAGTCAGCTGAAGTAAATTAGCTGCCGGCAATAAAACTTGGACATTCTCTTCGGTAACGTGGACTTCTGCTGAGTAAACATAATCAACTAGTAATTCCAAAGCTGCGTGATCAACTCCTTGTAATTTGATACGTCGTTGGTCGCGTTCCTCAAAACTCGTGAACATTGCGTAAAAGTAGGGGCTGCATGCCGCCAAAACCATCTTGTGAGCTGGTACGTCGTTTCCGCCATCAGCTTCCAGTATTACATCGCACAGAAGATTTTGCCTGTTTAATTAAACATTTAAAATTATTATTGTAATAATTACAATGTTTACGTTAAAGGCTATTACCCTATTACAATTGCTATTCTCTAACGAGTAATTTTTTTTTTAATTCTATTAGTAAGTGGAAAATGTATATTTAAATTACATGTCGGGAATTCTAACTACTTTTCATGAAAGGGGATTTGTGTTTTGTTGACATATTTAATGAACCTCACCGTTTTGTACAAGTAACTTTATGACAAAAACACTTGTATTATTATAGATATATAATTACTAGCTGAGAATAGTAAAGTCCATTGAAATAAAATTAAATAACCCCGATAATCAATAATCTCTAAATATTACAGATAAACGATGTATAGTAGGTGTTAAATATTGATTTAAATGGATATCCAGATTATTTGAAAACCCTGACGACCAGCAGTAATATTTCCGTCATATAATATACGTAAGTTGAATTTTAATATTTAATATTAAAAGGATGAGCAAATAAATTTTGAGTAATTTATGGTGATATCATTTTTTTTATAACCACTGTGTAATAAAATTTGAAATAATTTATAAAAGTATTCAAGTTCCGCATTTTTATATTTTTTTAAATTTTATATTTAAATTATTATTGAATTTTTTTTTATTATTTAATGTGAGATTTTATCAAGCTTGTAATTAATTTTACTTTATTCATAAAATATTATTGTTCGTATAGAACCAAAAATTAAATGCTTTTACTATTAACAAAAAAAGGTTTCGATTTATGTGTTGTAAAAATAACTTTTTTAAATAAAAGACATTGAATTTTACCTGACTGTATTAATTATTGGTAAGCCAATAATATTTTATTACTGTCAATAATATATTATCGTCAAATTTAAACAAATTTATGAGGTATTATTTATAAATCTTTGTCTGAATAAATCTGGAACCTTTGTCTGAACAAATAAAATAAATTGACACGGTGAAATTTGATTGAATCCAAATAATTCAACAGCGAGGATATAACACAACTTTTATCACAAAAATAATTATCAATCAATAACGATGCATTTATAATAAAAGCTATTTTATCTAAAGAGATAAACAAATTATTTCGCTGTAATGTTCAGTGATATGATTTATAAATAAAATCAGTATATTATACACATAACACAACAATAACTTGTTATGAATTATGTATTAAACAGATCAACGATACTTAATAATATTAATGATAATAATAAGATAAAAAATAAAATTTTCTTTACTTTCTCATAGCGTTTATCACGTCAAAAGCTCGATTGGTGTGATGATGATTACGATAAGGCGGTTTATCTTTTCCACTTTCCCTCGGTATATGCTTTTGTGAACTTTCGTCCAGTGAATTTTGACTTGCATATCGCAACAACAGACAGCTGTAATTAATCATTTAATTAGTGAGATAATAGGTAATGAGTTTTTGATAAAAAATGTAATTGGTTTGTTTTTATATGTACTCAAAAAATGTATTTATTATTATCAGTTGGAAAATGGCTTTTGAATACAAATATCAATTAAATGATAAGTACTCTTGTCACTAATAAAATTATATATCCATTAAATATATTTAATTGTTTCCTTAACTTTTTTTAAGCTAGTTACTATGATTCTATTATTACTCATTACTCACGAGTATCTAATAATTTTTTAATCATTTCGAGTAAGTAATTACATTTTTGTAATTAATTGTATCAATTTATTTTTTTTTTTAACAAAAAAAAATTTCAATGATTGTGTACATTATTTTTAATTAATTGAATCAATTTTATTTAATAAATAATGATAAAAAAATTATTAATAAAAATCAGAAACGTATATTTTATTATCAGCTATTGATATTATTTATATTATTTGATTAAAAATTGATTCCATGAAATTTTATATAAATAATTATCGATATTATATAAAACTAGAATAATTGTTTAAAAATACCTTCCAACATTGTCAGGATCGTTACTGGGATTATTGTTAGTCGACTGATTTTGATTTTGCTCCATTTTAATAAGTTAATCGATACATAAACAATACTTAAATTGTTAATTCATGCAATTAAGTTTTAGTTAACAAAAAATTATTTACAAAAGTACTTGAATTTATTTTATATAAATTAATCATAATTTATTAAAAAAAAAGAATCACAGACTGTGTGTAATTAAAAGGATGTTTTTTTATAACATTAGTTCACTTTGTTAGGAAAAATTCACACTGCCACTGACGGATGACATTCATTTCAGTTGCAAATCATTGAAAAATTATAATAATAGAGAACTTTATTATAATTATTATTATAATGTAATTATCGTTTTAAATTAATGACAGGTATGAATAATATTAATAACCGAGTTTATTTATAACACAGAGTAATGAAAGACTAGAGTAACAACAAAAATTTCATTATGTTTTATGAACGACAGACAGATGCACCACAAATATGCAGTTGCATACATGTATACACTTAGTACAGCTGTTCATGACTCCGTTTTTTTTCATTGACATCTGCAGAAAATTTCTGTTCTGCGTAATAGTTTACATTCTCAGCTAGATGGCTCTACCAGGTTCTATTTCACGATCTATATAAATACCGAGCGATCGCAAGCTGTTTTATCAACTCAGTGAACAGCCTTAAAACTCTGGAGAATCTGTTATTTTTTTTATTACGGGGACTGTGATACAAATAAATTTGATTTTTAATTCAAAATTTCAATTTCACAATATTATAATCAAATTTGTATTCATTGGAATTTATGACATTAATGTTAGCAGTCACGAGAAAATTTTTTAATTTTGATTAACAAAAAAATTTACTCCAAAAAATTATTTTTAAGAAATTGCATTTTTTATTTTTTTAAATTTCTACATGTCAATTTTTTTTTCTATTTTTTTTTTGCCATAATTTATTTGTTAAAAAAAAATTCTAAAAATTCTAAAATATCTGCTAAATTTATCATCATTTGAAATTTCCATCAAGGGTAACTGGACATTTTCTTATTCTTTTAGAGATAAATGAAACGTTGTTGCATTGATATGAACATTGCAAAAAGACATTAAAAAGAAGAACAAATGATCAAGCCCCGAGCATGGCAGAAACGCAAGAATATTTAATAGAGTAATTTTAGATTACTTTAATGCGTCAAATTATTAAAAATCCCGATTTAAAATTATTTATCCAATGAACTCAGCGTTAAAAATAATTATAAAAAAAACCATTGATTTGGACAATGTCTATAACTATTTAAATTTTAAATTACAATTTCTGATCGAATTTAATGTTCGTAATTAAGAAATTATTAGATGTGATGGATAAAAATAGAAATATTCATTTCCTGTGCTTGCTTTTACATTTTTAAATAATTTATTATCCAGTAAATTTTTACTTTAATAAGCAAGAGATGGATGTATGTCTGTAAACTTAAATTTTCCAAATAAAGTAATTAAAAAATTTATTTTCTGAGTGAGCCGTCCAGCTTATTAAGATAATTCGTTTTACTAATTTTCAATCATGATAATGATGCTTTTATAAAAGTTACAAATTATATTATTGCAATTACATTACAGCATTCCTTTAAATAGGTCATTTACGGATAATATTTTTATTTCAAAAAAGTTCGACTGCATTTTGCTTTGCAATTACACTAATTACACGAAATTCTTCATGCCAAAAACGATAAATAAAAACAAATTTAAATCAAGTCGTCTATTAAAATAAAAAAAAAAATTTTAGCGACAACAATTGTTAACTAATTAAATGAAATGTTTAACTGAAAGTTATATTTTATATATTATAGAAAGATCCTGAGGGATTTCCGAGATTAATTATTTCTTGAATAAAAAATTTTAATTACCATTTTAATTAATTTTTGATCTCGAGTTTTTAATATTCCCACTGCAATTATGGAGTTAAATAGATTCAAGTAAATTAATTTAACCTGGAAGTTAAATTATACATAAATATGAACATGCTTATGTATATATAAATTAAATAAAAACGCGAAATAAAATTTTCATTGTAATTCATTTTTGCTGAAAATTTTTATTCGTATATAATAAAGTAATATTTGCTTACCTTTATGTAGTAGACTGTTAAACTAATTATTAAGAAACTTAAGCAAATATGTATTTATAATATGTGACGAAAAACAATAGGGTAAGTGATATTAAAATAAATTCATCATCATCCGTGTATTATTTAAATATTATTTTTGTTTGATATATATTTTCGCAAAAACACAAATAAACACTTAAAATGAATTTCACAAAATCATTACAGTAATAACAAATCAATATAGTAATCGCTTGTACAATAAAACTGGGACTTATAAAGTCTATAAATTTTATTCAACAGTAAATAATAAACAATATCATACTTGCAATTTAAAAGTCTATCGCAGTCAAAACATAATTTTTCCATTTAATTTCAATCTTTAATATAACCATTATTTCTTACTTATTGTTATTATTTTTTCTTATTATCCTTTTATTACTCCTCCGGAACATTTTCTCCCATTCTACGTTTACCCGCAATTAACGTTGCACAAATTTTAGTGGAAAAAGTAGATTTATTTTATTATTAATTTTTAAATAATCATTCTCTCCCTTTTATTTATTATCGTTATTTAATACTATTATTTTTTTCTTGCTTATTTTAACTCTTTATCTAAATTACAACGATGTTATATCAAGAAAGGAGTACACTTTATAGTACACATAATAATATAAAGCCAAAGAAGCGATAAATTAATATACATACTATCTGTATACAAACATATTCAATTTTATATTCCCAATATTTTTTGGTTATTTTTTGTAATTAATTTTTATCCTAATTACCTTCTATCATTTTATTTATTATTATAATTATTATTGTTGTTATGATTATTTATTGTTATTAAAATTATTTAATCAATTAAGTTATATTCAATTATTATTTTTGTTTTCAAAAGAAGCATCACTTTTGAAGGCCGAGCCATATTCTATTATATATTTCGGTTATTATATTTATTTATTTGTTTATTTTTGTTTTTATTATTTTTTTTATTTCGATAGTATCAGTTGAGTGTATCGTATGCCGAACACCGGGCAAGCCGAAATAAAATAAAGAGCTACCATCTCAATGTTCGTACGAGCATATATATGTTGATCAGTCGAATATATTGAAACATACAAATTAAATAACGGTGTAACGTAATTTTCTGCCCAATAAATACAGACATAATACCGCTTATGCGTATAACGCAAAATGATTTGATATATGTATATGTATATACAGAACTTACACAACGGATGCACGCGAAAATTTTTACATACATAAATACACATTCATACAATTAAATACACAGTACAATAGTAGCAACATATACATTCTGTCCTCTCCAACTCTGCCATACATTAATAAAGTGTGTCGCTTTTACATTGCGATAGCTTACGTTGCGGCTACAAATAAACTTCCGCGGCTTTGGTATTAACGTGAAATCGCACGTAAAATTATTCTAACAAATGCAATCCCCTGGGATCGTAAGTTCTGAGCAAACCGACCACTTTTATCATTTAATATTTATTATATACTTCCGTATAAACCGATTGTTAAAGAGGATCCATTATAACCACCTATGTATACATAATACAATTATATATTTATATTTATATATTTACTCTTTCACTTTTATCTTTAAGACAAACGATATGTTTCAAAAGATACGTCTCGTGATATGAAACAATTAATATATATATATATATCCTTTGTCTTGCAGTTATTATCATTTATTTTCCTCTTATTTAGTTTATTGAAAAATTTATTCTTTGGCACATTATGATGTTGGTGATTATTTATCTTTTTTCTTTTTTTTTTTTCATTATCCTTATTAATTAATATTATTATCATTATCTTTGTTGGTAAAGTCTGACGGCAATTAATGTTAGATTATAAATAGATTTGCGTGTGTGTGTTTAATGATGACACGTAACGTAAAAAAGGTATATGGATGATAAAAAAAAGGCGCAAAGAACAGGCGAGATAGACATAATGCCGATTGATTGAAAGGGAGCTGCCGGTAGTGCATGAGATGAACTCGGATGATTATGATGAGGCTTCGATCGAACTTTGGCACACAACTGTTTTGTTTTCTGTACAGTGGATGCTGTTTATATATATATTGTTATATGTATATGTATATAGTACAAGCAAAAGCTGTGGTGGATGAGTAGATGAGTAGCTGGTTTGTGGTGCATACTCTTGATGTAGAGTCGCTGTAGCTCGCTGACTTGGTGTAGTCGCTCGATGGTTTATTCTCTCGCTCAGTAGCTCAGCAGTCGATCAGTCGGCCGTTGTTTAAGCTTGGCATCCACCCCACCTGTGCACACACTTTCATCAGGATAATAAAGGTCGACTGGTACTGTACTCTGTTCACCGCAACGAACAGAGACTATGGGAGAATAGTGATATCGCTCCGAGTGATATAAAGAACAGACTGGTTGGCCGTGTATTCGATGATGATCTCGAGCCACGGGCTGCCTCTGCCAATCCTGATGCAACAACAAAATTTAAACCAAAACAACCTATATTATTCTATTTTATTTTATGTTTATTATACTGCTCTTTTATCGTTTTATTTATTTTTTTTCTCATTTTGTTATATTTGTTTAAGCTTTGTCTATTTATTTAATCGTTTGTTTGTTTGTTTGTTTGTTTGCTTACTCTTTTTAAAAAAGAGGGTGAGTATGAGGGTTGTATTTTTAAAATATTAACAATTTATTGAGTACTTACCACCGATACTCGACACGTCGTTGGTTAGATTTATTTCTGTAAAATATTATCCAGTGAGTGGATTCAGCTAATTTATTTTATTTCAATTCATTTAGACTTAGGTGTTAAATAAGTAATGGAAATTAAGTGTGTGTATATGAGAAGATTTTAGTTAGTTTTAGATAGGAGGTTGGTTAATTGGTTATATGTATATGTCTGCCGTTGGGTTATTAATAATACTTACTGTAGAGTCGTGAAGTACCCTCGGCTTTTCCTAAAATGTTCGAGGCAGTGCAGACATAAATACCCTCATCTTGCTCGGTAAATTTTTTTATCACAAGTGCTGTTAGTACTTGGTAGCCGGAACGTTCTTCGTGGATTTCGTACTTTGGCCTGTTTTAAATCAATTTTCGTACTATGGTTATTTATTATTTTTTATATAATAATTATGGGCTTGTATTTGAGTATATAAAGTTTCATTTTTGGAATTCATTATTTAAAGGGTGCATTATTTAAGAGGGGAGGCTACCCCACCATTCTAGTGGAAAAAATGTAATAATTTTGTCGTAAATTTTTTGTTTAACCTGTGATTAATGTAAATTTTATAGCGATACAAAAAAATTCGATCAATCATTGTAGATTTGTTGAAAATTATTGCGATGAAAACAATTCTGTCGTGTGTCGTGGCTCAAAAAGCGTTTATTATTTTCAATCTTTCATCGATAAAAAGTTTTATTAAAAAGAAATGATGAATCATGATAGATTTGCTGAATTGAAATTAAATTAAATTATGTAAAGAAAAAATGAATTAATAACTATTGATTTATTTCATTTAATATAAGCTTGTATAAATGTTTGTACTGTAATTTTAAATTCTTAATTCAGAAACAACATTACAAAAGAAAATAAAAAATCTTCGTTTGTTTTATTCTTTATCCTGGCAAAAATATTTTTTACTTAAGTCTGATAAACACAAGAAAATAATTGTTTATTTAAGATAAATATACGACTAACCGAAAACAAATTGAAATTATCAAGGATTAATTTTTTTATTTTTTCATTTTAAATAATTAAATATTTGAAACAAATAGAAACTTTTTTACTAAATGCTCAAAAACCACAGAAATTAATTACACGCTGAAGTAACTTGTCGTGTCGGTTACCCCTTTCATGCTGAAAATATTTTAGCAAGTAGTTAATTAAAAAAAAAAAACGATCCGATGGTTAATTTTTTTATAAATCTAGTTGGTGAACTTTTTTGCATTGAAAAAAAAAAAAAAATGATGAAATAAAGTAAGAAAGTGCAGATAGGAATACTAACAGCTTCTTGTCGCAACTACATATCACATTTTCGAACAAGTTTTAACTTTAACAGTTTAACACACATAACTTTCGAATAAACCTACTTTTATAAAAAGATTTATACACATATGGGTGCTATTTCAAATAAAAGCATTGGATAATACTTTGTTACTTAAGAGTTTTGATAAAAAATATTTATCAAATGTCGTCTGAACAACTTAAATATTTACTTGAAACTATAAATAGAGTTTGTTGAAGTAAAATAGAAGAGGAGATGGGACTGTATGTTAATGCAAATAAATTTAATGAAATAATTGAAGCTCGACAAATATTAGATTAAGAAGATATAGACAGTTGCGATTCTATGACTATCTTAGGTAAATAATTAAACAGTTATAAAGATAAATAAATAAATAAATAGATCTAAAGTTTATAGAGAGCTGCACTTCTCACCCGTCGACCAGCATTTCCGTTCGGTTCTTCTCCCAAAAGTTTATCGTATTAGGATGTGCCTCGATAGAGCAGTCCATTTGCACTCGAGTACCCAATGGTGCTCCTAGCAGCTGGCTCTGAACTTGCACCGTTGGTGCAACTGGGTAACAGAATTTCTCCAATCAGAAATAGATTGAATATAATTTAAGTAAAATAATTCAACCGTTAAAATTAACCTTTCTGACGTATAATATAGAAAATTATCAATGTTACATGAAATACGGTAATGAATTATGCAAGACAGATCCTGATTCTACTTTCGGGTAACAAAATTTATGATATTTTTATGCGACCCACTTAATTGTCGATATCGAAATAAATTCATTTCAAAATTTTATCGAGTAACAGAAGAAGATATTTATTATCGAAAAATAAGAACATTGATTAGAAATTAATCGAACAACATTTAATTCAACGTATTAATAATCAAAACGATAAAGATGATACAGTTTTTACTTTTTTTTATTTTTTAATTTAATACCTTAGGTCAATATTTTAGCATTTAGACTATTGTTATTAATTGATTGATATGATAATTGGAGATCATTGACACCTGGATGTTGAATCATCTTGAATCAGTCAAAAAATTTCAAGAATTGTTTTCTTTAATCAAGTTAATTTTTTTTATTAATGTGTCTGTGAATTGACAATACGTCTGTCATCGATTCAATCCAATACTAAATATTTCAAAAAATTTTAAATCAATAAATTAACTTTTGGTAGATATATTTGATTATAAATTTATTTTCAAAAGAAACTTTCAGCAGATATTTAATTCATAAACTTCAACTAGATTACTATATAGGTTAATTAGTTAATAAAATAATTAAACAAAGTTGAACTAATTGATATCTTACTGATATTAAATTTCTCAATTGTTACTTTATAACTTATTCCCGGGAAAAACGGATTAGATCTGGCCAGATCTTTAAATTGTCTCTATCTGACGAGATCTGGCCAGATATAATCAGATCTGACCAGATCTGGTCAAATTTTAAAATTGCCCAGGTAAAAATGATTATATATAATTATATATACTCATACATAATTATATAAAATTATATAGAATTATTTTCATAAAAAAAAAAAAAAAATCGGCGCGCACGGGAACCGAACCTGGGACTTGACGCTTGAGAGACTAATTCACTACCTGTTTACCAACGAGACTTACTTGAAACGAGAGTAGGTAGAGTTTGTAATAACTATAATTAATAGCCTTAGCAGATCTGGCCAGATCTAATCTGTTTTTCCCGGGATACAAGTAATGTGAATCGTGTCCATGATCGATGGGTAATAAACAAAGTTTTTTATCAAATTTATTGCAAATTATTAATTATCAATATACGCTGATGGGAAGATTTATTAACTATTAACAAATTAATTTATTCGAAAACAATTATTTAATTTATTAAATTCTAATAAATATTTTTTAACATTCAATAAATATTTATTTGGGAGGAAAGTATATTTATTAAATAATTTATAAGTATTTATTAATAGTTAACAAATATAGTTATATCTGGCCAGATATAATAAAATCTTTTTATGTCTGATTTTTTTTTCAACCCAGATATAGTTATATCTGTTTAGATCTGATCAGATATGACTAGATCTGATTATGTCTGATGTATTTTTTAACTTAGATATAGTTATATCTGTTTAGATCTGATCAGATATAAATAGATCTGACCAGATATAACTAGATCTGATCAGATATAATTATATCTGGTCAGATCTAAACCGTTTTCCCCGGGTTTAAATAGTAATTGAATAAAAATGCATTGTAGAGAGAGATCAAATTGACATTGTTCGATTTCTATTTTCATTCAATAATTTGAGTATTTTTTTTTTGTTTATAAAAAAATCGAAAATGACTGATAAAAAAAATTAATGATACGTGAAAACATAATGATACTTGAAAAAGCTTTAAAAAGTTATCACAAGTCCTGTGAAAATAAAAAATAAAATAGGTGAATAAAAATAATTGGAAATAAAAATCAACTCACAATTTACTTCGAGTGCGACACGTTTGCTGACAGTAGGTGGAACGTCATTGGTAGCAATACACATATAAACACCCATTTGCTGTCTATCCACTCGATAAAAATGCAGCTTTGACTCATTGTAAATTTCCACTTTTTTAAAATTGTAGCTCTTGCCACCTAGTACACAATCAAGATCATTATCAGCATAAGTACACACTTGTCTGCTTTAAGCTCCGTCAAATTTATTCCGCCTAGTTCTATCGCATTTTATTTCAATTTCTCTGTCATTATTGTTACTGTCATCGTTATTTTTGTTATTATTATTACACAATAAAAAATATTGTGTGTTTGCGTCAAAAACGGTCTGTGTTGAAAAATTGTGTGTTGATTTTTGTGTGTTAATTTGACACTTTTTTTGTGTTACCTGAATTTTAACATGAAAATAGTGTTGTTTTCATGATATCAACACTTTTTGTGTGTTACTAGATAAAATGACACAAAATTAGTGTCAAGCAGGAAATATTAACACTAAGTTTGTGTTGTTGGCGCGTTCTTTCTTCAGTTTACGCACCAAACGCATTGTAATACCGGACAGCTACTTAAATTAACCACTCGTGCGTATAAACTAAAGTGTTAAATATTGTGAAAAATAGTATATTTAAATATATTTGATAAAATTATACCAGTTTGTTTTCAATAAAAAAAGTAAATTTGATATTAATTAAAGTAAGTCAAAGTTTGCTGTATTTATTATCAAATAAAATTCTCAACTAACCTCACTTTCCTACAGTAAATTTGCTACATCAAATATTATTTAACGATAAAATTTATAATAGTTTTTAAAAATAACAGACTTTGAATAATTTCTCTGTTAATTTGTCAAATTCTTAAAAAAAAATATCAAAAAATTTATTGATTTTATGTTTTTTTTTTGCAATTTTATTTTATATTTTCTGACACTTAAAATAATGAAATTATAAAAAATAAATTAAGTATTAAGTAAGTTTATGATGAGTAAATCATATATTTAAGTTGAAGACTGTTGGTACTTGACTAAAATTTAAAGAAACTAAATAAACTAATTTTCTTAATAACCATGAAAAATTTATTTATTTTTAAATAATTCCCTAACCTTTATATTCAAACTTAAATAATAAGTGAGTTAACACTTATTTTGTGTAAAATCAACACAATTTTAGTGTTAGATACAGTCGACCCAAAATTAATGTTAATTTTGACACAATATTTGTGTTAAAAATTCATCACTATTTTTTGTGTTGAAAATTAACACTAATATAAAATTGTGTTGACGGATTCTAACACTAGGATTGTGTTGATTTTACACAAAATTTTTTATTGTGTATCATTATATACCATTTTATTTTTTATTAAAAAAAAATTCTCAAGAGTAAAAAACTCAAAAGCAAAAAGAAAATCAAAGTCATAGCGTCAACAGTTGTGTTAGTATCGAGTTAGCGCAAACTTTTTGAAACACTCGAACCAAGTAGAGAGAAACGAGAGACCGGTTGTGTCTCTTAGCGTACTCCGATCTACTTGAGGAAATACAGTGCAGTATTCGAGATTTGAGTGCGAACAAGTGTGCAGTAATTTCTTTCTTCCAATCGACAAATAAACTTTCAAATAAAAATAAAAGTACAGCAGTCGTATCACCGGAAGCACAGCACGGAAATATTATATTCAAACAAAATTTTAAACCTTCCTGTTCTTTCAATATCCAACATCCTTTTCTATAAAATACTTTTACTTTTATTAATCTATTTTTCGATTTTACATTTTCTTTGATTTGCATAAGCGCGTGTCTTTTATATACCCTGTCCCAGTCGGATCCACTCGACAGAAAACAAACAAAACCGAACTAAAAAAATGCTAAAATAAATATGCGTCGGTTAACGAGTTTGAAACTATTTTTTCACCCATGAGCTGTTTTCTCGTTATCTCTTTGGTTCTTCTTTTTTTCTTATTTTTATTCTCTACTTAAAAGTTACTTCACTTCACCGTTCTCCGTTCTTCGTTCTCCGGTTGTTCACTTACTCATCTTGTGTACTCTACCACATATATATAGCTTAATGTTGATGCTGAAGCGTAATACTCGGTGGCAGTGTTATTTCGACCTCAATTGAGTACAAGACTCGCGTGAAAGATCGATCAAGATAAACAAACCAAGGAATAAGTACAAGACTGTAGTACTATACAGTTATAGTTGTTGTGTAGTTGCCGCAGTAGATTCTGTACAACCAACCATAGAGCAAAACCATTGCCGGGTGTAGAGTTTGAGTGAAACAGCGAGTCAAGGCAAACGCCAAATAAGAGGATGTACACAGCAGTAGTCAGAAGCAAATTCGGAGTTAACTTGGCTTTACTTATACTCAACGTGTCTATGTATTTTCCGTCTTATAACTTATATGTATGTACATAAGTATGTAACTACTTATACAACTGTACAAGTCTAACTCTCTCTCTTTTTATCAGCCCTTTCCCACCGCTTCTTATTCTGTTCTTATTCTATCCCGAGCACCGCTGGCTGCAGCTCCTTACTTGAAGCCGAGCGACCCTTACCCTTACTTCACGAACGTCAACGACCAAACACTATCTAGTAAGACCACTATTACTCCTACTTGGTTGTTTCACATCCAACTTTTACCCGACTCAAAGTTGGCGATCGTATACGTGCACGTACAGGATACCGAGGATAAAGACGATCTACTGAAAGTAGATAGACCGAGACCAAGACCAAGACTAAGAGCGAGAGGAGAAGAACAAGAGGATGAGGAGGGTAAAAGGATAAAGTAGTTTGGGCGCAGTGAATCCGTTTGGGCCGAGAACGAACGAGGCAAAGAGGTGAAGGCAGGCGGCCTATAAGGAGCTTCCTCTTTACTAAACTTGTGCTCAAAGAGAACCTGGTTACTTCACAACATCCACGTTCCTCGTTATATTATATCTACTCTTCTTACTACATAATACTCCTCAGCTACTGTGTTTTATATATAGGTATATACCAGCAGGCTTTATGTAGACCTTATTACGAAAAGACTGCTGCTAAACTCAAGACTATGGTCTGCACCCCCATCGTATCTCGCTCTTGCTTTTCTTCTTATATAATATATATATATATATATATATATATATAAGAACCCACATTGCGAATTGCGATTCGTCTACGCCTCACTTGTTTTGCATTACCTCTGCTTTTTTTCACCGAGTTTTCCATTTATTTTTACGTAATTTGTGTATACACCAGCTATCTCTGGCAGCGAGCTCGGAATACTCCTGGGATGGGTATTTGTCGAACGTTGAGAGTTAATCTTGATTATATTTTTAACCATTCGATTTCAGCGCGCCCTTTTGTTTTCAATTATCTTGAGTGAGAAAGAAATAACTGAACCGAGAGAGAGTTCAGTGAAGACGAGGACGCCAGGAGAAGATGAAAATGTCGAAGGTGTCGTGGTAGTTGGCTGTGCTGCCTTGCACGACCAGACTGCCGGGGATTATTCAATCGAGGGCCTTCAATAACGGCGACGCTATTTCTTTTCTTTGTTCGTCCTCTTTTTCCCCGTCTTTGTCTTTGTCTAAGTCTTTGTCTTTATTTTTTTTCTTCCCCGAAAAAAATAAAAAAATCTGGGAATGTGAAGTGTAGATTGAGGATGAGCGAGAGAAATAATAGAATAGAGTAAAAAAAAAAATTATTTTTATACACAGAGATGTTGATAAATACAGGTATGGCAGTGTGTGTGTGTGTGTGTGTAGACCGGACAGGAATGGTGCAGTACGAATGGTGCGGTGTCGTTAATAGACAAGGTATGCGCGTATGTGTGTGTGTGTAGACATATACATATATGAGCACACCTTTGGTGGTACCGATCTCCCGACGATTATTCTCAGCGAATACGAGAGAGAAATCTACAGCGGTGGAGGAACCGCACAGGGCTTTCCGTGGCGTGCATGCTCGATGAGTCAGCGGGAACGACGACGCTCTGGCACCCGGTGTTAGCTGCTCAGCTCTACGTCTTTTTATTTTTTTATCACAATCGACTATTTCTTTTTCCACCGGTTTGTTTTATTTTATTTAACTTTATTTTATTTTCCTTCCTCCCTTCTCTTATTCTCTTTATTTTTTAGCCCGAACCTCTTTTAATATTGTTTTTTCCCTTCCTTGCTCTCAGCTCAACTCGACGCTATTCCACAGCAGTTCGCACCTAAATTCACCGCGAATCGTCCAGAAGTTCAAAGTGACTATCACGTTGGAAAATTTACACTGGACGAGTTTTTATTATACATATATTTATCACAATATACGTATACGTATATAATATTATTCCGGAGGAATTTCCTCAACGCGAGACGTGTGTTACATTTGCTCCCGGGACTCAATTTAAATTTTTAATACGTTCGGGGAGTAAATTGCGCATCCCGTTTTAAGACCAAAGAATAATAAAGTAAAAAAGAAAAAGAAGCAACATAAAGTAACTACTCGGGCTTAAAGTATTTAAAGCTTTAAATTAAATGAAAAATGTTACAAGAGTGGCAACTTTGGCAGCCGAAACATATAAGCGAGCTGGTATCTTATGGTACTGCTGGTCTTGCTACATCATGTGCATTAATGAAATATATAACGATCCTGTGCCTCGCGTTGGCCATAAAATAACGATAATGTCTCGGTGAAAATTGTGCATGCAGAAGGTCCATTTGGGAAGCTATAGTAGAGACTCTGGAGAGTCATGAAGTGAGATTGTCGACGTGCTGTACGCGGTATGAACGACTAGATGTTAGATTCTACATATACCAAACACGATATACGTCTGCATTGGAATTATTATATATATAGCTGCTTTTATGTAACAATAGATACAAGGATACATGAGTAAAGAGCAAAGACGCGACATGAGGAGATCAAATTGGTGAAGAACGAGGAGACGATGTAGAAGGTAGTGATGCGAGTAACAGGATGCTATATGATGTACCAGTCAGAGAATAACGCGAGGAGCACAGAAGGAGGACAAAAAGAATAAAGAGAATGGAAGGCTGAAGCTTATGGGTAAGTCATAAAATAGCGATCCCGTAGTGGGATTTGATTCGCTGTTGACAAGCGAAAATTACTAGTCCGCCGTCGAGAAATCTCACGGGGTAAAGCCGGAATATAACACGCGGTGGGTTCTTCCATGTTTTGGAGTGGGATCCAGGGGATGAAAAGCCAGGGATTTGAATCTTACTCTCTTCCGACTTCCGAAGCTATCTGTCTTTATTTTTAGTCTGGGTTGAGTTTGGTTCGGGCTTGGGGACGGGTTTAGGCTTGAGCTTGGGTCGGGGCTTACTGGATGGAAATTTCGTAACGCCAGATGAGTATACAGAAGTGAGTAGTGCAGGGTTTTGGAAATAAGGTACGGAATATGCTTGACGGTAGTATATCTATACACTAAGCAGACAATAGATACGAACTATAGGAACTCGAGAACGAGGTCGAATTCCTGATGAGGATGTGCTGCCCGTCCTCTCGTCGCCAAGAAACTCTCGGCTTCGGCGTCCCTGTGGCTTGACAATTGAGTGTGACGTTTTCACCCTCCGTCACTGACAAGTCCTTGCTCGTTTCGTCCCCGTAAACAATGTCCGGTGGCACTGCAATCATACAATGTTGCTCATCAGTTCTTTTTTTTTTTTTTAAATTACATTAACATCAATTCGATAATTATTATCATTATGATTATTTATTTATTATGATTATTGTAATAATGTATCTCGAATTTTTACAGTGAGTTGTTTGTTTAATAAAAAAAAAAAAATTATTTAAATTTTAATTTCAACGTTTTTATTTGATTATTAGAGAATATGTATGTCAAAATTTGATATCAACACTGATTTTAAAATGCATTTCATTTAATAACATTCTCATGAATTACAATCGTTTTGAATAATTAACATACAGTGTGTCTATTTTCATTGAATCACTGAAATAAATAATTGAGCAGAATTTTTTATTTAAAAAAATTCAAAGTCAACATTTAATTCGAGTAAATAAATGAGAATTTTGATTTTAAATTTACAGCGATATTGTGAGATATTAAAAACCATCGACACAACTGTAGAGATTGAATATTTATCCGAAGCTGTCTGTAATCATTGTAATCATTCATTCGGCTTAAATAATGTAATAATTTAAAAGCGAAAAATTAAAATACCGGGAAACGATGGTTGTATTGACTATGTTTAATATTGTCGGGTTTATCTATAGACGTACATCCACACAGACAAGTAGAATTGCACAGTAAAATTCAATATTAAATCCAATACTGAAAATTAACGGTAAATACGTGCCAAACAAATATACAGTGTACAAAGTTCACTTCTCGGGAAATATGAAATTTTATTGTTGAAAAATATTTTTACGTTGTTAATTTCAAATAAATATTAATGAATATTATGCATATTTATGTTTAATTTATCTATTCGAGTAAAAATGTATTTTTACTAATTCTAGAGTTAAAAATAATGAAAAAAAATGAATACCTAAAGACTATTTGATTTGCAATAAAATATAATATTAAATATCAGCATCAACAGCGAAGAGTTGATACTGGCTAGTTAGGAGATTCTGCTTTCTATGCACGAACTGAGTCGGATATGAATGAGATGCTTCGGTGGACATTTACAGATGTACATACATAAATGTACATATACAGAAAGGAGCGTCGGATAGGGGTGTATATTTGTTCGGTGAGATTTGCCGAGAAGACTCGAAGCCAATCAATGTGAGTCGCATATTCGCTTCGTCGGTAGCACCCCTTCTATATCTATATAATACCGACTCTTCTCTTTACTCTTCCACACAGCCTGTCTCGCTCTTTACCTTTGCTTACTCGGTCATTCCAGGTGCTTACTCACTCACTCATTCTCTCTCTTTGCCCGTCTCAGCGGTACCATATATTGGAATTTCTAGTAGTATACATAAAGCTCGAGAGTAACCGCTATGCATATATGCGGATACTCTCAGTCCGAATCACATAAAATCTGTCAATGTTTTATATTTGCAGAGGTCTGTAATTTCTGAAAATCCTTTTGAAAGTACCTTCAACCAAAAATCGATATCCATAAAATTTTAAATTGCTTTTCAGTGTGCCGTAAAATTTTTACCGACTCAAAAATGACATCCATTGTTTTCTTTATCAGTTTTTATTGGTTTATTTGGTTCATTCGAGATTTCATAAACATGTCATAGGTCGAGCGAGAGGTCACCAGCCCGTGTAATAAAATATTTTTGTTACTTTATGTACTAAATTGATGAATTTTATACTGCGCCGACATATATTTTTTTACGATGCTAAAATAACGCCGTTTTATTCTGTAAATATTCAACTAATAGTTTTTTGATATTAATTACATATGAAATTGTAAACAAATTTAAAAAGCACTGTTGGATTAAAAAAAAAATCGAATTTTATTAAGAAAAAAATTTTCAATTATTGAGAAAAATGCATTAATTCTGTAACGATTAATTTTAATTTTTAATTCAAATAATCAATAACTTGTCTAAATAAATTTATTGTGACATTTTAAATTAAAAGTTGAGGTTTCAAACCCGTCGGTTTAGTTACTGTCATAATTTATTGGACTCGAAGGTACGAAAATAATGAAACTCTTATTTTTATTTGCCGCAGAAAAACTGTGTTATACGTAATACTGTTGATAAATAAGTTATTTAAAATGAATTATTAAATGAAAAATTAATCAATCTAATTTAATGAAGAGTTACACAATTGAGCGTGTACTTGACACTTGATAATTTAATTAACTCCCTTCTTTCAACTGTTTAACAGCATGACCCTATCACAATAGTAACTTGAATTATTGTTTTTTTAAACACTCGATAACTTTTTGTGATTTCAGTTTCAATGTAAATTAGTTCAGTAGAGACATTTAAACGTAATACTAATGTCTACTACGTAGACATTTAAATTTAATACTATTAAATTTCTACGGCCTTTAAGGAACGTCAGTTCTAGGGCCGAATTTCTTCAATAAATAAATAAATAAATAAATAAAACGTGCATAGCAGAACCTGAGGCTAAACGAGATAGAACCGCTGATAACTTTTTTTGCAACAGAGCTATTTTTTTTTTTTACCTAAAAGTTGTGAGCCATTTTATTTCAGATACTACAGAATTCTATAAAATGGTACTTTAATTTTTGCTGCAAATCAACTGAGTGTTTAGTTTCATCTGAACTAGATGTCTCATTTCACCCAAGACTTGTTCAATTTTTTGCGAGAGATCATTTTTACGATTTGCTATTTATGATGAATGTAATACTTGTTATTAAAAAATTTTTTTCTTTTTTTTTTTTTACTTGAACTGATTGAATTAATTTTGAAAAGACTATTTTTATTTTCTTAGTAAAAATGTAAATATTAGCCAAGATTACGTCGGATAAAATAAAATTATTTACCTATCTATCTATTTATCACATATAAGTATCAGGAATAAACCAACCGGAAATAAGACAGATATTTAACTTGAATTAATAATTACATTTTCGTCACTGACAAGTAATTTCCTGTTAAAGTTTTGATAAATATTTAATTGCGACCACAATTGTACTAAATAATGTACAAAAATTCAAGACTTGATTCCAAAAAAATGAATATAAATTTCAAATTAGAAAAATAAATCTAATTTATAAAGGACTTATAATTAATTACACATATTTACAAAATGTATTCTTAAGCATTGTTTTTCTTTTTACTATGCCCTTAATTCGAAAAGCAATAACTCATGATCCTGATAAATAAAACAAAACAAAAGGTTGAATGGTTTCGTAAAAACGTAATATTTCTTACCTAAAATAGATAAACATCCGAGCTCGGAGATCATAGGTGATGTATTGATTTGACACATATAGCATCCCTCGTCGGACTTTTTCAGGTGGCGTATATGCAACCGCCACGTGCAGTTGACGCCCTCGTCCATCACCTGATTGCTTCCAATCACGCCATGAACTGGTGCTGCTACTGGTGCCACCGCTGGTACGAGTCCGCCGGCCCCAGAACCCATGGAGATAGCGTTGGACGTGCCGGAACAACCACCGGCTTCATAAGAAACTGCGATGCGATTATTGTGGGTCACGATTCGTGTGTCCAATGAGAGAACAGTTTGGTCCGACGCTCTCAGCCATCCTACCTAGAAATAGCCAACATTTCACCATCAATTCATTTTCTTTTCCTATTATTTCTTCACGTCTATTCAATTTCTTCTTCTTAATATATGTATAGGATAATATAATTAAATAATTAATTATTAATTAACGATATTACATTTCTCTGGTAACTTTTTTTTCTCTTATCGCTCTACTCACATCAATAGACATCAATAAAAAAATGTTCTACATCTATGAAAAATATGCACAGCAAACTAAAAGTTACCGCGCTATTTAATTAAATATCGTCGAAAAATTTTTAATTAAAATAAATATAATACAACAACTTGGTAGCTCGTGTGCATGAAATAGTTTTTTTTTCTATTTTTTTTAAACTATACCCATGAAATGTGTCACCGATGTAACACTCTAATTTTTTTTTTAATGCATATAATGTACACTGATAAAAATTAGTTTGATTTAAGATTAAAATTCTTGAAGCAAAAATATAATTTTTAACATCTTGAATCAATTAGAATTTATTTGAATCAAAAACGACTTCTTAGTTCAAGAATTTCAATCTTAAATTAAGTTGATTTTTTCTATCAGTGTACAATATACAATATAAATATGTAAATGTGTGTAGAGCAAATGTGATGAGAAGATTTTTCAGCATGACAATCTTAGATTAAGCTTGATATGGTACGACAATCGGTGAGAAAGCCAGTGATATAGGCCAGCTTCGAGGGAAACCAGACAGACATATTCACTTGTACTGATTTCCCTCAACACCGCATTACAATGCCTACGGATTTGTTATGTATATTATCTGTCGCATCTACGTACATATATGGAAGTGCAATATTGATATATATATATATATATATATATTCCGTAATGTACGTGTACTAGCACGTATATTAGACTAGAATAGTGTTTGCTATTAATTTAATATAAGTTTAACTGATAATAACGTGTCGATAAATAATTTATCGGCGATGACTAATTTAGCTTAAAAATAAATTGAAACAAGTGCTGATTTTTTTTTTTACTCACCAAAACAATATTACGTTGACAGAACAATATATCAATTAAACAAATATATGAATAATAGTAATAATGTATAGATAAATAAAACAGATTAATTATTATCTGCTATTTGCTTACATGAATCCTATAATAAGTTGTATACATTTAGAGCAGGTGATACCCATACCACCTACACTGTCTCTGGGTGTAAATGTGTTGCTATTGAATTACTCAATACAACGTGTTTCACCGCGAAACTCGTCATTCACCCAATAATCTACAATTAATCCGATTTACACAGTTCTCGGTTCCTCTTACTGCTTGGAAGCGTATACACCTACTGTTACGTACATCCATATCTACAGTTATATCTGTATCTTTATCTAATAACTACATGCATAGTGGTGTAAGTTTATATGTATATGATATACAGCGGTCTTAGTCTCTTAGTGCTCTCCGTGACTCCTTTGCATACAATTTCATCGCAAATAGATGATTGCAATTACGTAAATTCAAAGTTATACCGTGCAAGTTACAATGGCATTTTACTTGGAGTTATAACATAAGGTAGATGCTTTACTTTATTCAATTATTCAAACTTTAATTGATTATTTCATCAACGTTATCACTATTTTATTAATTGAGTTGTTTATAAATCAAAGTAGTTTGAATTTAACTGCAGTGAAATGTTCAATAAACTACGTGGGTAATATAGTGTAATTTTTTGGATTAAAACTTTTATTGTAATTGAAATTTTAGTGACATAAATTGAATAGCTATTAATAACTTCAATATATCTTATTTTCTTTAAAGATTTATCATAAAGTTAATGGAAGATCTTGTCATGTATTTTACTTCAAAAAATATTTGTTCATTTTATTGATATTAATACTTGGAGATGGATTATTTTAATAATAATTAATAATAATTAATCGCAATGTCATTAACACGTTTCACGAAGTTACATCTTGCAATTTTTATCACGTATTAATTTTGTATGAGAGATAATGGAATGTCCGTATTTTTGGGTATGTTAAAAAAAGATCAAATATATATGTACATAGCAATGATTTTTCCATTAAGCTTTAATACTAAAATTAAAAAACTTTACTTTTTAGTAATAACTGCCGTTAGAATATCGCAGCAACAAATTTTCTAAATTTATCCACGTTTGATTTTGTAGCGATTGATTGCTAACAGTATAAATATATTTTTATAAAAAAATGTATAAAGATTATTATTTCGATAGTGAATAAGATACTTTTCACTTTGATGATGCAACGTGTTTGCGGAAAAACGTGACTATTTCGTATCAGAATTGTTGGAAACAGTGGGGTGTAGTAGTGAATGAAAGATGCAGGAAGTGTTGTTGGCGAAGTGAGTGCTGTAATAAGGAGCGATGATGTCAGTAGCAGTAGTGGTAGTGGTGGTGGTGAAGAAAAGAGAATGAAGAGGTGAGTTAACCCGATGGCTATCTTGTGGATATAAGGATAAAGAAAAGAGGTTTGTTTTCCAAGCGTATCACCTTGCGGGCTCGTGAGTAGGAATAATGGATTCTTTTAACGCCCACGGCATCACTTGTCGTTCGGACAAATGATGAAGGAGTGAAATGTCTGATGTCGAGTCAGTTGTTTCTAGTTGTTCTCTTTTATCCTCCCTTTTATTTTAATCTTTTAAATTTGACGGTTCTCCATTTTAGTATTTGTTATTTCGACTTACTTACCTTGTATTTTCCGATGTTACGGACGTAACAAGAAAACACAGCTTCACGTCCAATTGCCGCTGTCTGATTGCCGACGGGTCGGACGAACGCTGGACCCGATGTGTATGTCTCTAAAAATAACAAATCACTCGATTTATTCTTGTCCTACTTTTTGTCTTTACTTTTATTTTTATTTTTATTTTTATTTTTATACTGCCCTTTTTTTGTCAATTCAAAGAGAGCTTTCGATTTTATTCTGACGGATTTACAGAGAATTATTTGTAAGCTATACAGTTTAGTAACTTATCAAATGATCTAGAAAGCTCTAAAAGCAACTATTTGCTCGTTTTAGATTAAATTTGATTAATTTAAAGATTAATATAATCATACAAAGACTTTTTTATCCTTTTGATGGATTATACTACACGGCTCTACTGTGAGTTTGTCTCGTATTACATCACATGAGTATGAATGAGCTATTTAAGCTTCAATTCAATGTGATAATGATAACTCGAGTATTCATGGTATTCAATCAGTTTGAAAATGTGGGGTATCAAGCTGTGAGGGATCTGCATTATCTCGAGAATTATTTTTTATGAATAGAATATTTTTTATATTTATATTTTCTCAATGAATAATGTTTTTATTTTATTTTAATATATCAGGGCATATTTCAAAATAATATATTAAAAACATACATCATATATTTGTTAACCATTCGTCTTGTAAACATATGTGATGTATTTACAATACATCACATATGTTTTGTAAACATCTACATGTGTATGAACTTCGTATATGTAATTTCATATGTAAACATTTATCATGGTGAATATTTACAGTACTTTGAAATGTGTGAAATAAAAAAAGAAATATTGACAAAAAAATTTTAAATTGTGTCATAACGTCCGAACTTTTACCTATTTATTTATTTTTTTTTTAATAAATAATATTAATCCTTTATAAATATACATGGTTGAGAAAGCGCATCTTTGAATAATGAGAAAGTTATTGGAAATTGGAAGGAATGTTTAAATTTAACTGGCGATAATTCGTAAATATTCACATTTTTATATTCCAAATATTCCAAAAGTTATTTAATTTAGATATTCTCATAACGATTCTGTTTAGATTTTAATTTGACTATGAGTATTTTTATCTCAAAGTATTTATTTATTGCGAAAATAATACTACCTTATACCTAATATACCAATTGTGGCATCGAGAGCGTGAAAAAAAAGTTTGACCGCCAATAAAACAAATCAATTTAGCACGACACGTGTTAATAAATAATAACCAATAATCTAAACTTGGCAATTATTTTTAGGTTGACAAAACGTCTGAAACGTTATTTCGAGAATGTCTGTTACCTGATATCAGAATTATTTTTGACAAATTAAAATTATTTGACAAAATTATTATTATATACCGCTTTCTGCTTTGGTTAGTAACAGAAAATTTATAGAAATTAATTATCAATATATTATTGACTAAAATTATCACTTCTATTGATGCAGTACCCTCGAGCTGATATAAAATGAAATATCTATAAATACACGCTTGTATTAATACTGTACACACAAAGGCACAAATTTAAATTATTCAGAAGTAAAATATGGTAGTAATGAAACTGGTGTAAATGAACATTGTGCACCTGTGGTCAGAGATTAATAATGAATTACAGCAATCAATATTCCAAAGTCCATGGACTGAGAGCGATTACACAACAATTGATGTGGACATGAGGTGCGAATGGTCATTCGGGAGCGAGTAAAGTGACTGGAAAAAAAAAACATTAAAAAAAACGAGCCCAACTCAAACTAAAACTAAACTCAAACAAATAAAGTGGAAAAAAAAGGTTAAAAATGAAATGAAAAAGCAAATATATTTGTTTTTTATTTATGTTTTTTTATCCGGGAATGTGATGATATTTTTTTATCACTAATATACGTGTGAGGGTGCTTGATAAATCCTGGGAAATAGCAATGCTCAGAGAAGCATCGTTGACATTCCCCACACTTAGCTCTCGCGCGCGATATTCCATCTTCTGCATTAATTTGCTCGTTCGGTCGATCCTCGACTTTCTCATACCCCTGGGACGATGTTGGTGGTGGCAGTCGTTGGTATTCTGCGCCTCTTACTCCTCCAGCTCTTTATCCAATGCTACCTCATTCGACCTATCCTTTAGCTCATCTCATCCTTCAGTGCTATACCTACTCTACCTTCCTACCTATCTACCAGTAGTGCTCCTGGTGTTGGTACAGCTCTCTAACCCTCATGCGCCGCCTCTGTACACCCCAGTACATACTCACATACACACAGACTAGAGTATTCAACTGTGTACAGGGTATACTGTTCTATAACCTACCCATCACGAAGCATACCAGGCATGCCTCCAGCTCAGAGTGACAGCACGGCTTAAATCCGAGAACGAGCAATATCCAAATTGCCTCGGTGCAGGGGTTTAACGTTCCCTAGCTCGACTGAGATAGCTTCGTGGACGACAAATCGCCGGGGGAATAAAACTTTCCCGTTGATGCACAGGATTGGACAGAAACAATAATGTACCTACGAGACTTGTCTCAGATTCTCTCATTTTCTATCGCGGTTCCGCTCATACGCTTACTGACAGCAAGATAAAAATCAATCACTTAAGAAGCCTCACTTAACAGATCATTTCATTGCTTTTTAATTTATTCAAGTTACTATTTTATTTATTAATCATACTTTTTGCATGTCATCAAATCAACGAGCTACTACCGGTTGTTATTGACCGAAAAATTAGCTATAACATTGATCAGAGCAATGATTATGATGGACGGTTCGAAAATTTATTTAATAAAATTCATTATTATATCTGTTGAGTGATTTATCAACTTTGTATTATTTACACGCGTGGACTTATATTGATGAATCCAAACATGTCTCGAGCACTCAATTTATGATGAATATAATAAAATGATGGGAAATTTTTTTGATTAAAAAATTTTATTTCAAGATTTTACTTAAAAAATACTTGTAGTTTTTCTACGCAATATTTAAATAATTTTATGATAAATATGAAATTTGTATCATGAAATCTAAACGAATTAACCTCAATTTCATAATTTTCATTATCTATTATCATATAATTCTCATTCAACTTAATATTTCAGTCTTTATTCAGTTAAAAGTGTCAATTCGTTCGACATTTGTAATATCATTTTATTCTTGCTAAAGTTATTATGTAATTGGCTTTTAATCGATATTCATATTACACTGAGAAAGAGACTAATTTAATTTATTATTTATAAAATAATAATTTATTATAGTAGAATTTAGCATGTAAATTCTTCCATGAACAAAAAAAGTTGAATTGAAAAAATAAATAAATAAATAATATAAAATAAAATACTTTTATTTGTAAAACAAAATAGCAAAATGTCCATTTGTAAAATTCCGTTCGTAGAGAATACGTTTTCAAAAATATTTATAAAGATAATAGTATTGATAAAACGTAACAGATTTTTTTATCTAACAAAAAAAAAATAAAAAAAACAACTATCAATTTGTTTTACGTGACACTTGTCACAAAAAAATATTTTATAAAATTCAGTCAGATATTTTTTAATAGTATACATCCATCGCATAGAAAAATTTAACCAATTAATCTAATGCATGACACACACACTGTGCTGTCCTGAATTTATTTTCATTCTCCAAAGCCTTGTGTTAACTTTAATCAATTATTTTTTGTGTACTCGTCAAGTAGTAATGTTTTGGACTCAGTGACTAAACCAATACCAGAGAACAAAAAAAAAGAAGAAAAAATAATAATAACAATCGTACATATATCGGTAGCCACACATACCTTACACAGCTATAATCTCGTCAAAAAGGTTTAAACTCACCGATGGAAAAGGATTTTCGCCATATTGTCAAAAGTGCCGTGAATTTTCCGGTTCGAAAAATCAAGGGGATAACGCTGAGAATAACTCGTGCGCAAAACGTTACGTTTAACTATTTTTTTCTATCGTATCGTTATTGTTTTTATTTTTACTCACTATACTATACTATTCTATTCTATACTTCTTTCACTCTACCTATATTTTAGCTATTTTTTTTCTCGTGTAGCTTTCCGTTTCATCCATCTCGCTCAGATTACTGCATCATACCACTATTCGCTTTTCTCTCTACTACACTCATTACAACACAACTATAACAACTATTTTTTTTTTTTTTTCGTTTACCGTACGCTTTTTAAAAAAATATTTCTTTTTACTTCCACGTCAGTGTATGTATTCACACTGCTCCCAGTAGAACTTGCGAGTGAAAATTCTTAATGCCGTGCATGGATTTCACGCATTTCCTTTCCAGTATACTATCACTATACCACGGTAGCACTATTACTATTATTATTACTATAACTATTACGACTACGACTACAACAGCAGTATATTCCGGCTTTATCGCACTACATCCAACAGTAAAAAACAGGATATCAGATGAAGAAATGTATATATAAAGAGATACACAGCGTTGAGGCGTAGTAGTGGTAGTTATAGCAATCGTGATAGTAATAGCAATAGTAATAGTAATAGCAGCGGCTGTGCTGTTGAAAGAATGAATAGGTGTAAATGCACGTGTGAGCGTAATAAATACATATACATATACGTACATATGAGCATTAGGAGAAGAACCGGGAAAAGGGAAAAAGGAAAAAAAAATAATAAAATAAAATTCTCTTTTGGGAGTATTTTTCAGATTCCAGCGGCCTCGATCGATCTCACTATTTCTTTAAACTCCAGCTCTAGCTCTAGCTCTATCTTTAGCATCTACACCAGTATACCTCGGATCGGAGTGTATATTTTATCCTGACATGTATATATTTATTTGCGATATATAAAGGACTGTGTTCGTGCACCGACGCACCTCTTATAGTTTTCGGTAAAGAGTTGATACAGAGAGCAAACGTGAAACGAATATACACATCATCATATACACATATATATGTATATTTGCATATACTAGAATCTACAATCTATACACTAGATGTAACGGTAGTCTCAACTACTCAGGAGTTATATAATATAAAGACTGTGAGCCAGTGAGTAGAGTACCACCGGCGTACTGGAATACTAGGTCCTAGAATACTCATGAATTTA